TTTTTTTCGTCATGGTGCGCTTGTGGGCAGTAGCTTTAGCGGTCGCTGTAATGCAATGTGATTTTTATTTTTTGCCTTTCGCGTTCGATGCTGCGGCTTCTCGCAATGTATATATCCGCCATGAACGTCTGTGTTTGTTATTATTTGCTGAAGTAAATTCATGAAGGCTGATTTTGTGTTGTTTTGCTAGGTTGGGTCCTATATACTACATAATAAACGCATAGTCACAACCATACTTGATCCAGTCGATCCTCTTCGCTATTGGTCAAATCAGTAAACTGGCCGATAGTGAAGAAGCGGATTAAGTGGATCAAGTGAACATCCGCCTTGCTATTTGGTCAGTTTGCTGTTGACCAATAGCGAAGTGGATCAAGTATGGTGGTAGGTGCCATACAGCTATTAGTACATTTTATGCGTGCGTTTCTCAGATTTTCACTTCTTTCCCTTCTCTGCAAGCATGGGGCGCATGGAAGTCGAAAAGCTTCGATATTTGGAGCGAGAAGACTTCCGAGTTTTGATAGCTGTAAGTGTGATAACATCATTACCATTACTTCAATGGAATGCTCTGACTGTGAATTATACTTGAGCTGATGCTTTCAATCAAACAACTGTTAGACTTCAAAACCAGCTTACAAACTCTACAAAAGTTAATTAGCGCTGCACTTTTGTAGAGCTTGCGAAGTGATTCTCACGGTCTAAAATCTGTTTGTTTGAAAGCAACAGCTCAAAATAGGCTAATAGTATAATCTACTCACTGTGTCATTTGTAGTGAACCAGTCTCGAACCCGCGCGACCTCCTCGCTTGGCCTCTGCATCTTTCGCGAACGTGCTCTCTGATCATTTTTTTTCACGCATAATGATTGAAACTTGGCCTTTGCACGCTCAAGTGTGGGAAAAATGGTTTGAGAGCATGCTTGCGAAAGAGATGTACAGTCCAAGTGAGACGGTCGCGCGAGATTCGGGCCGCTCGAGCCAGGCTCACTTTGGATGAGACAGACAGTATCTATTTCATCCAAATGGCGCGAACAACGCGTGAATAGTAGAGGGAAACATTGAACAGTGAGATTGTTTGTAAAAGCTCCTTTCGTTTTGCATGGAGACTTTTGTTTGTGAACGTATGTGTGGTCTTTTCAGACACACCGCAAGTTTTTTGCTGTTGAAGCACATTTCTGATATGAGAGGAGAACGCAAACTGCTTTTTTACGTGAAGTGAATTTCGTTTTCTAGGTGGAAATGGGGATGAAAAATCACGAGATCGTACCGCTTCCCCTCATATCAGCTATCGCTGGTATCCACAGAGGAGCTGTCGCGCGTATGCTCTCCGATCTCTGCAAACACGGCTTGGTGGCATTCGAGAGAAGCAAGAAATGTTGGTTTCAATTGTCTTCGTTTGATTTTCGATCTCAGCAGCATTTTGCATCTTCGTTAAGCTTATCAACTTCCAGATGACGGTTATCGTCTCACTGTTTTGGGATACGACTTCTTAGCGCTGAAAGCGCTATGCACTCGTAATGTTGTTGGCAGCGTAGGCAATCAGATTGGTGTTGGAAAAGAGTCGGACGTATATGTGGGTGGAGATCCGGAAAGAAATGTGAGTAATAGAGTTTTGTGGTTCTTGCTAGGACATAATCTTGCTTGAATTTCTTTTTAGGATCTCTGCCTCAAATTTCATCGCCTTGGTCGAACATCGTTTCGAAAAATCAAAGAGAAGCGTGATTATCATAAGAAACGACATGCAGCATCATGGCTATATTTGAGTAGGCTCGCAGCCACGAAGGTGACTATGGGCTCATTTTCAATTATTTCAGATCCTTTTCTCAATTTCTGCGACGCATTTTTTTCTTTTTAGGAGTTTGCATTTCTCAAAGCACTGGCCGAGCATGGCTTTCCTGTCCCTCGACCTGTAGATGTGTGCCGCCATCTTGTCGTGATGGGACTGATTGAGGGCGACACTTTATGCCATGTTGATCATGTGGAAGACGTCGGAGCTTTATATGATAGGTGCCCGAGCATTTTTATTTTGTGGTTATTGCTTTTTTCACCATTATAGATGTGATTTAGATTGATGGCATTGATAGTAAAATTTGGGCGGCATGGACTTATACATGGAGACTTCAACGAATTCAATATTATGCTGCTGGAGGTTAGCATGATAGCATTTGACTGTTCAGTGCCGTCTATTTTGTTTGTAGAATGTGCAAATCCCAATTTTCGACAATTTTTATCTCAAAATTTTCCGTATGCTGCTTGACGCAGTTTTTGAATTTTTTTCATTGTAGGGTGAGAAAGTCATCGTCATTGATTTTCCACAAATGGTTTCTATAGATCACCCAAACGCACAGTTCTACTTTGAAAGAGATGTGGAGTGTGTGAGGACCTTCTTCAAGTTTGTTTGACTTGCTGGTTACCTTTTTAGTGATTATGAAGCTCTATGAAGTTCCTCTTCAGGCGAAAATTTGGTTATGATTCCGATGACTTTCCTAAGTTTTCTGAAGTTTCTCGTAAATATAACTTGGATGTCGAGTTAGAAGCGAGTGGATTCACCAAACAGATGCAGATTGACCTGAATAAGGTAATTTCTAATCACTAGTTTACTTGTAGTTAAGAGTTCATTGTTTAGGCTTATGATACCGGCAACTTTTATGCACACCAAGATTTTGATGATTCAGATGAGGATGAAGAGACAGAAGGAGTAAGTCTCGCAGCAAACTCTCACTTGTAAAATTACTACCTTCATTCTATAGGTAGACGAAAATGTTGCTTCTGAAAGCGAAAGTGACGACAGCACCATTCATGAAGAT